GCAGGGTGATTTCCCAGCAGGCTACAGTGCAGAGCAGCTGTTTATGCGTGTGGTTGTATGGCTGTGGTGTGGGTGGGCGGGGTTAAGTGGAGATCAGGTGAAGGCTGGCACAGGTGACGTGAAGTGAGCTCCTCTTCCTCTGTTTTAATGTTTAATGCTGCTGGAGTCACAGGTGCTTTCCACCCCAGACACCTGCTGCCCCAATCATACGCTCTAATACACACACACACACACACACACACACACACACACACATACACACACACACACACACAGACACACACACACACACACACACAGACATACACACACAGACACACACACACACAAACACACACACACACACACACACACAGACACACACACACACACACAGACACACACACACACAAACACACAAACACACACAGACACACACACACACACACACACACACACACACACACAGACACACACACACAAACACACACACAGACACTCACACACACAAACACACAAACACACACAGACACACACACACAGACACACACACACAAACACACACACACACACACACACACACAGACACACACACACAGACACTCACACACACAAACACACACACACACAAACACACACACACACAGACACACACACACACAAACACACACAAACACACACACAGACACTGACACACACAAACACACACACACAGACGCACACACAGACACACACAGACACACACACAGACACACACACACACACACACACACACAGACACACACACACAGACACACACACACACACACACCCACACCCACACTCACACACACACAAACAGACACACACAGACACACACACACACACACACACACCAACTCTCCAGACACTCACACATTCTGCTCCTGACCCTGTCCAGCTGCGTCCCTCTGTGTGTGTGTGAGAGAGAGAGAGAGAAATGTGTTCATGCCAGCAGAAAGTCACTGACTGTGGAACTAATGACCTGTCATTCTACAGCTGTGTAGCTGACACACATAAACACTCACACACTCACATACACACACTCACACACACTCACACACACACGCGCACACTCACACACACTCACACACACATGCGAGCACGCACACACTCACACACTCACATACACACGCGCACACTCACACACACTCACACACACATGAGAGCACGCACACACGCACACACTCACATACACACACATATACTGAACTGGCGTGTTTGTAATTTCTCTGACAGGAACCTGTCTAATGTAGAGGAGATCGGCACCTGTTCCTACATCAATCAAATTATCACCATGACAACGCTCTACATCCAGCAGGTTTGCACTCTCTCTCTCTCTCTCTCTCGCTCTCTCTCTCTCTCTCGCTCTCTCTCTCTCTCTCTCTCTCTCTCTCTCTCCCTGTGTGTGTCTCTCTCTCTAAATCAGTCTGTCTGTCTCACGCGAGGATTTAATTGCATTTAGCCACAAGAGAGTATTAGTGAGGTCAGCTACTGATGTTGGATGATTAGTTCTGGATCCTAAATAACTTCAGTACTGAATGGTATTGAATCACTGCAGAGAGCACAGCTCCTCTGCCTCACAGTGCGGGGGGGCATTGTACCGTATAGTATATCTAGTGCTCCCACTTTCTCTTTCTCTTCCCCTTCTTTCCATCTCTAATTCCTCTCCTGTTTGTCCGTTGATCTGTTTATCCATTTCTGACTTATGTTCGTTATCTTTGCAACACTATGATGTTGTTTCCAACGGCATCTCTCGATCTGTGTCTCTCCCTCTTCTCTGCAGCTGAAGAGTAAGACCAAAGAAAAGGAGCTGGCTGATCAAACTCAAGCCGAGGAGTTTGTTCGTCATGCTCTGGCCTTCTGTGAGAGTCTTTATGACCCGTATCGCAACTGGAGACACAGAATACACAGGTATTTATAAATCCACCCTACACAGACCAGAAATTGGTTACACTACATATTTGAGTCACACAAATCTGAGCGCTGTTTAACAAAGAAAGCCTTTCTATTGGTTTGTTCCTGCTTTTAGCCTAAGTCAGTCCAGCCCTCAGGGAGCGCCAGCGAGTCACGTTTTTGCTCTCTCTCAGCTTCAGAACGCGTTTAAAAGGTATTCACCATTCATGATTTCTTTGGTGAAGTGTGATGGGAGCTGGGAGAGGGCAGAAATGTGGACCCTGTGATTCATTAGGAATGCGGTGGGAAACTGATTTATAGTATCCCAGTCACATCTTGGAATTTTCACATTTCACATTTTAGAACAAACAGTGCAGCAGGACAGGCTGAGGAGAGAACACCCAGTGTTACGCGTATGAGTACACTCAAAACACACTGACCCAACGTTCTCCCACTCAGTACCAACATTCATCACACACCATCCTACGCCATCATTCTCCATCACACATCATCATCCTACGCCATCATTCTCCATCACACATCATCATTCTTCAAACATCATTCTCCATCACACATCATCATCCTACGCCATCATTCTCCATCACACATCATCATCCTACGCCATCATTCTCCATCACACATCATTTTCCAACCAAACACCAATATTTTTCATCACACCACCATTTCCCAGCCAAATACCATCATTCTCCAAACAAACACAGTCATTCTCCATCCAAACACCATCATTCTCCATCCAAACACCGTCATTCTCCATGCAAACACCGTCATTCTCCATGCAAACACCGTCATTCTCCATCCAAACACAGTCATTCTCCATCCAAACAGAGTCATTCTCCATGCAAACACCGTCATTCTCCATCCAAACACAGTCATTCTCCATCCAAACACCGTCATTCTCCATCCAAACACCGTCATTCTCCATGCAAACACCGTCATTCTCCATCCAAACACAGTCATTCTCCATCCAAACACAGCCATTCTCCATCCAAACACTGTCATTCTCCATCCAAACACCGTCATTCTCCATCCAAACACCGTCATTCTCCATCCAAACACCGTCATTCTCCATCCAAACACAGTCATTCTCCATCCAAACACCGTCATTCTCCATCCAAACACCATCCAAACACCAGTATCCTAATGTGGTCAGTTTGCTTTAGAATGTTTGTGTAAAATGCATAATGTGTAGTTAAAATAACTGAGGAGCCAAATTAACCAGAGTAAAAGGAAGAGAACACAAGACACTTCACACACTAGTGCAGCGCACCATCCCAGTGTTTAGGTTTGTTGGTGTCTAGTAGAGAATATTGGGCCTCATTCACAAACAGTCCTTAAACCCACTTACACAGTTCTACCTGACGATTCTGACACTCACCACTGTTTTCTTTGGTACTGATTTGTCTTTAAGTAAGAACAGAATCTGCACACACTCAGGAGCACAAAGGTGCAAACCTCTTAAATTCCGCCGTTTTAGAAAAGCTCAGGAGGACACTGAAAGAGGCCTGACGTGTCTGTGTGCTCTGGGCTTCACTTGCTCTTCATTCATAATTCATTAAAAGCAAGCACTGCATGTTGTCAGGTCTTGACTGATCCCTCTGCACAAACTCGCTGAGAGCGCTTTGACCTGAGCAGTTTGAAATGGAGCTGCTTTGTTGCTGTACTCACGCTTTCATTCTGTACTAAGAGCCACAGTTTGGGAAGTATGTATTTTCACTATTAATCTACGCTCTTCAAAAGCTCTTCAAAGGTTCTTTAGTAAAGGGAATCATTTTGTTTAGAACCATGAGTTCTGTGTAGAACTATTTCATGCTTAAATAGTTCTTTACATGATGAAATGGTTCTTCAGATTGATGGAGAATGTGTTGGATATGATTCTATATATCATATACCTATATACCAGGGTTGGAGGTTAGAGACCCAGCCTTGTGACTGGAATGTCACTGGTTTGATCCCCTGAGCCGACAGTACGTGACTGAGTACCCTTGAGCAAGACACCTAACCCCCAACTGCTCCCCGGGTGCTGTTGTAACAGTATAAGAACCCTTTTTGGTGCTATATTGAACGAGTTTCCAGGATAAAAAATCAGACAGTTGGTCAAAACAGATGAATAAAGTAAGATAACTGTAATGGGCTGCTGTCCAGTCTGCCCATTACACCGTTACGCCATAGCCCAGTACGTTTCACTGCAGTTTGTGCAGTTACTGTACAGAGGTTGTTTACACTCTCTCTATGATTGATATAAATAATTCTTTTTAATGAAGCAGTGGGTTCTAATGATACTCAGGCTCATGATATACTCAACAGACGTGCTGTGGCACAGTTTATTACAATAACGATGACATATAGTCATTTTGCCCACCCCGAGTTTTCAGCCACTTATTTAGCCTGGATTTTTGTTGATGCCTCAAACACACAACACAAGAAAGTCTCTTAGTTAAGATAACAGTAACAGTTTGAACTGGAATCCTGGAAAACTTTACTGAGTGTTTTATATAAACACTCAGTAAAATTTATATAAAGTTACATCGAGTTTTCACAGGCAAAAACACACGTGTTGCCCACGTGATTAGTTCTGTTAGTTCAGATTTCTTGGCTGCGTCAGACTTTTGTACAGCACTGTATGAGTTATGTTTATATCAGGTCATATGCAAAAGTTTGAACACCCCTGTTCAGATTACTTGTTTAGTTAATTTTCTAAAGGAAAATCCTCGACAGGGAACAAACCTGAATTCTGCATATTTTAGTGCAGTTTCTGTTCATCTGCTATATTTAACACATTAGAAAAGATAAAATATAAAACAAAAATGTTTCACAGGCAAATTTTATGTTTATTTTTCTTTTTTATCATTTTAAATTCAGCAAATAAACAGTTATTATGCATTAAAATGTGCAAAGGTGTGTTCTCTGTAGAGGACATGTTAACTTATCAACAAAACGTAATCTGTTGATTAAACAGATAAACAGTAAACGGTTGACTCTGTGTGTGTGTGTGTGTGTGTGTTTAGGCAGCAGCTAGGCACCGTGGAGAAAAGCAGACAGAAGTTTAAAGCGGCTCCCCTCACTGTGGAATTTGTCCCATTTTTCTACCGTGAGTATCTGTCTGTCTGTCTGTCTGTCTGTCTGTCTGTCTGTCTACATGGCTTGACATTTAACTTTTTGGAGTTTTTGTCTTATGGACGAGTAAATCCACAGGTCTGAAGTCCACGGAAAAAAGACTGATAACTTTAGTAAACGCTGTGCTGCATACAGTAATTTAAATAATAATATAATTTATAATCTTTATGTAAAGTCACAGATAATTAGACATTCTGTCAAAATATTGATGTAATATTTTAAAATGGTGACACTCCTTTGAAATAATGACTTAACGTTTTTGAAATAATGACTCGTTTTCTTGAAATATCGGGCGAACATTACACGAGTTTTAAATTCCTAACGGTTTGAAAAAAGAGAGTCTCACAGTTAATGTCTGTCTTTGTCTGAATGTCACTGTAGCGCTCACTAGACAATAAGGCAAAAAGAGCGTAAACACGCATTACGAGTTTCGGTTACAATCCCAGATCAGCCCCGTTATCGCTAAACTGGACACACATGAAGCTCAGCGAACACACAGACTGGGGGTGAAAGACGTCACAGTCACATCTGGAGAAACATTTTACTACGGACTGACCGCTGACTTGAAATTGTATAGAGAGTGGTCGATTGCCTGAAGTCAACAAGCAGCTCCTCTGTCTCCGCTCACGGTCGAGCTCCAGACTGGAAAATCGATTTAGATTCAGTGAAAGATTGTCGGAAGAGACCAATCAGGCTGAAATCGTGTGGTGTAAGTCTGGCTTTACTAGGTAGCAGTAATGACTTCCTTTCATAAGATGTTGATTTGCTGCTTCAAAACAATGACTTATCTTCTCAAAATATAAACATGCTTTATCAAAATAATGACTTACTGTTTCATGATAATGACTGATTATCCCAAAATACTTTCTTGAAATTGAATAACTTCAGGGTTATTCAACATAATGAGTTGTAGAGATTTTTAGAGATAGAAATGTCTACAAAGTTAAAGTTATTTTGAGACAAGTCAGTATTTCAAGATACGAGGGAAATATTTTGAAAAACAGTCAATTTTTGGAGATGAGTCAGTATTTTGAGAAAATAAGTTATTATTTTGAGATAAAAAGTCCATAAAGGCAGAAACAGAGAAAGAGAGGTTTTTTATCGGGTGGGTTTGGACTTTAGTGTGGAACACATTAGTTTTTGTTTTGTAAATTAATTTGTTGGCCTGTTTGTTATTTTCACACGTCTTATTTATGATAGATCAGACAAGTGCATTGATCGTCCACTTGTCTGACACAAACTGTCACTTGTCCTGGAGAAGCATTGTTAAGCTTTGCATCTATCTGACTTTCTGTCTCTCTGTCTGTCTGTCTCTCTGTCTGTCTGTCTCTCTGTCTGTTGGTCTCTCTGAATTTGCCCTTTGTGTGTTGCACTGATCTGCTGATAGTGCTTCTGTTTCTACACCAACCACATCCCACAACAGTGTGTATGAGAGAGCGAGACATTGTTGTGCCAGAAGTTTGTATGTGTGTGTGTGTGTGTGTGTGTGTGTGTGTGTGTGGCCTCTGCCTCTCAGCCGCCTCACACAGAGGAGCCATTGAATGAAGAACTGCAGCTCTAGAGGGCAAAACACACTGAAGTTTCTTTGCATAGATAAGAAAACGCCATCAGCGGCTGATTTCCTCTGTGTGTGTGTGTGTGTGTGTGTGTGTGTGTTGGCAGAGTGTTTCCAAGAGAGCGAGCACCTGAAGGACAGTCTGAAGTGTTGTCTTCTGCACCTGTTTGGGGCCATAGTTGCTGGAGGGCAGGTGAGGGCGGAGCTACAGCTGCACCTGAGCACTTACACCACATAGTCTCCATTTTCAGCCCTTATACCGTCTTTCTGTATCAGCGAGCTCCTCTTACACCCCACACACCCACGTGTCCATAATACCGTTCAAAAGTTTGTCAGAAGTCATATTTACACTTTTTTTGTTTTATTAAACAACAACATGCACATGTCTGTTGAAATGTTATAAATTAGATGCCAAAAGTGTTTTATGTTAATATTTCAAGTATTTTTTAATATTTTCCTTGTTTATAATGACAAAAAGTTTTATAAATAATTTACATATATAGTCTACTGTAAATATCTATTTACAGTATTGTTCTGGCATAATATCTCCCACAAGATTTGATCACCATCACTTTTGAAATGCTGGGCATTCTGCATATTAATTACAATTTTGGTCTGGACAGTTAATTTTATTATGAATGCACTTGTGATGTGATTATAATCATCTGTAGCTCAGTTTATCATTAATTTCTGTTTGAAACCTTTGAAGCTGAAATCTTATTTCAGAATCATTTTTATTTGTAAACTATAGAATATTTTGTTAGCATCCTGTTACCCTGTTCTTCAGTGGTCAGGACCCCCACAAGACCACCACAGAGCAGGTACTATTTGGGTAGTGGGTCATTCTCAGCACTGCAGTGACACTAATGTGGTGGTGGTGTGTTAGTGTGTGTTGTGCTGGTCTGAGTGGAGTTTTTACAACTAAGTGGTCTGAGAATAGTCCACCAGCCAAAAATATCCTGTGACCACTGATGAAGGACTAGAGGACGATCAACACAAACTGTGCAGCAGCAGATGAGCTATCGTCTCTGACTGTACATCTACAAGGTGGACTGACAAGGTAGGAGTGTCTAATAGAGTGGACAGTAAGTGGACACAGTGTTTAAAAACTCCAGCAGCACTGCTGTGTCTGATCCACTCGTACCAGCACAACACACACTAACACACCACCACCACGTCAGTGTTACTGCAGTGCTGAGAATGATCCACCATCCAAATAGTACCTGCTCTGTGGGGGTCCATGGGGGTCCTGACCACTGAAGAACAGGGTAGCAAAGTATGCAGAGAATCAGATGGACTACAGTCTGTGTAACTGTAGAACTACAGAGTGAAACTCTATGGTCTCCACAGAGAAATGCTCTGTTGGCGATCTCTCCTGCCACTCTGGAGGTGTTGTTGGCTGTGCTGGGGGACAGTGAGTGTATGGGTGGCGTTGGTGATGGAGAAGATTGGGACAGTGAGGCTCCGGACCGTAAGGCCCTGCTGACCCTCGCCTGCCTGCGCGAGGTGGTGCACAGCCTGTTGGCCAGCAGCTCTGACCAGCGGCAGGTGGAGATCAGCTCTGTGCTTGAGAGCTACTTCAAACTGCTTAATTCTGACCCTGCTGCCACTGCGCAGGCCAAAGGTCGCCCGGCCCCTCCTCGCTCACGGCACTGGGAGAGCCGCTTTGTAGCCCTGCAGGTGAAGATGCTGGGTGAGTGAAGCTGTGATTCATCTAAAGTGGTCATTTTTAACTTTTTGCTTCTGTAACTGAATGAATATTACAGAAACCAGTTCAAATCTAATTTTGTATTTTTTGCCGGCCTAGTCTAGACATGTTTGGTTAAGTGTCCTTTCTTTAGTTTTGCTCCGGTGCTGTGATGCTAATGTAGCTAACAAGTAATGGACCCATCATTTAGCATTGTACGTACAGCCTGCCTACATCACTGCACACTAACCTCAAAGTGCGTAAATAGACTTGCTTCAGATACACTTGCTATAAATGGTCTATGAATAGTAGAATCAGTCATTCTGAAGCTTTGTAGCAAGAGATTCTGTAAAGCTGAACTATGTAGGTTTTGAGGGTTTGGAGACTTGGGCCCAGTCCCATTTCTTCTGTTTACCCCTACCCCTTGTTTTTGAGTGTCATCCTAACCCCTTGGAACTGAGTTACAAGGGGTGGTGGTGGAAATCTTCCCTATGAAATGGGACCCTCAGAAAAATAATAATAATAATAAATTATAGCCACCCTCAGTTCTTTGGTAGTGCGAAGCTGAAGTCAGATATTCATCAGCTTCTTGTTTGAATTTTCCCGTTCCACCTTAAATGGAGCAGCAGTTACATTCTGGCGTTTCAGGCGTCAGAACTGCTGGACTATTTAAGGTAGCTACCGAGACATTAGCATGCTATTAGCTATTTTTTTATGCTTGTTACAAAGAAAACGACTGCAATACATTAAACTACACTAAACTAAGATAAAACAGTGGTTATTGAAATTTTTAATGGAGAAAATTCTCACATGTGTTTCTTTGGTCTCTTGTTCAGCCAACTCTCTGTTTGGAGTCTCTGAAAAACCTCAGTTTGGAGGATCATGTAGCTCTAACACTTCGCCCTACCCCTCTATCTCAACAAGAACTGGGACACCCTACCTACCCCTAGAACTGAACATGCTAAACTGAGGGCTAAGGGCTGAGTGGTAGGGGCGAGGGGTGGAATGGGACTGGGCCTTGGAGACTCTCTGGTGGAGACGTAAAATTGCATGCAAAGTGCAGAACAACAACAAAACTTGGTGAAACAAGTTTAGATGATAAAACTAATATCTGAGAAAAGTAAAGTGAGTGAGTGACAGAAAGCCGAAATTGAACCTGCTCTGTGGTGTTTAGCGTTTGGCTAAACTCATGAGAGCCAACTTCGCAGGCTAAATGTGCCACTAATCACAGCACAGGCCTGGTTCCAGCTGACTGATGCTAAAATGACACCCGTTTAGAGGATACCTGGAAGCGCAGATTGACTAAGTGAATCTGAAATCGAATGATTAAACGCCACTGCACAGCGGACGCACAGCGCTGTGACTCCCAACTCCCAGAAATTCAAAATAATCTTTTTGAAGAAGCTGCGCACACCAGCTTTCCACATCACATTCTCAGCACGACACAGTGAACCACTCAGCATTCTGCCATTACTGCGTTAAATTAAAGCCATATGGAGACCAGAAAGAGCCACAGTAGATCACATGTGGCTTAAAATGTACTCAGGAAAAGGACGTCAGGCTTTTAGACACAGACAGACGATGATGATCTGTTACCTCAGCTAACGTTACAGCCTGTCTTCACCTCGTATCTTTCGGCTCAAGCAGTGAGCTGTTAGTGAGAGAATAAACTGACACCAGCTGTGATCAATGAGGGTCAAAGTTTTATTTCATTAAATTTGTACAAATAGAGTATAAATATGAACTTGAACTTGTCGTATGTAGGCGCTCTTACTGCGTGCTGTGTTATGAGGCGCGTCTGGTGGCCTTTAGTTTTTCCTGGCTGTCATTTTTCTCTCTTTCTATTAACGAGCCCTCTTGATGAGCTCTCACACCACCGATAAGTGATTTGAAATTTTGAAATTCCATGATTGTGCTGGTCCCAATTTATTGTTTTCTTCTGTCCATCTTTATCAGTATTGTCCATTAAAGTCTAGAAGGCCACATATTATAACACTCAGAGAACAGTTGAAGGCTTCTCTACAGATTATGCTGATGTTCATGATCTACCCTTATTCTTCTCCTCTGTTCTCTTCTTCTTTCCTTCTCTCTTCTCTGTAATCCATTCTCATCGTTTCAGAAACTATCCAGGACATGTTTGAGTGTTCAGATCGGCCCGTCCTGCAGGCCATCTTTCTCAACAGCAACTGTTTTGAGCATCTGACGCGTCTGCTGCAGAACAGCAAGGTGAGCTGCTACCAGAACACATTTAGATCAGTGCCAGAGCACTGCTGAAGCTGCTGCTTGGAGAGTTTACGACAGAAGCGTCCAGTTCTGGTCCTGGAGGGTTTTACTTCATCGCAGTCTGGTGATTTCCTTGCTTCAGACTCCTGATTCGGCTCGTTAGTTACACCAGAAACACACCTCACACAAGTATGCAAGTGCAAACAATAATCATTCTGTCACCTGGACATTTATTATGCAGCTCAAGTGCAAAGCTGTATCCTGATTACTGTAGCAAGGGGGCGCTATAGCTGCTATAAACCACACACTTGCTAGACAAGAGCTATTAAAACTGTTTATTCCTCCTCAGAGCAATTCAGACAGTATCTCCACCGTCTATTTGTTCTTTTCTTTTTTCATGAGTACAGCAGGTAAAGCAGCAGCCTCACTTGTCGGCATGTTTATTGTTGTAGCTTTAGGAATAATTGGAAATATTCCAGGTTTGATGACAGTAGTTTCTGTTCCTGAATACTGAGGTTTATAAACACGGTACTTGTGAAGTCGGTACTAGAACTGCAGAAACATTAGAGCACCTTGACTACGTACAGACTGCAGGGAAAAATACGAATTTTATTTTATGGTTTGGTCATTCACGTTATCTGTTACATGTGTCCTGTGTCTGGCCTTATTCTGTGCAGTCACACTCTTGAACTGACCCTCATGTGTTGGCGTGCTCGTCCACCATCATCTTTCCTTAAGAGAGCCTTTAATGGACCTCATTCACCAGGATCCTCTTAAGTTTGTTCTTGAGAAAGAGATCCTAAGAAAAAGTCTCCGTCAGATTCATGTCGTGTTCTTAAAGCGCAGAGCTGTTCTCACCTTTGTGCTCTTGAGTGTGTGTAGATTCAGTTCTTACCTCAGAACAAACCCACATAAGAGAACACTGGTGAGTCAGAGTCTTCAAATCTGCAGAAGCGGGTTTAAGAAGAAATTTCCCTTTGAGAACGGTTGGTGAACGAGGCCCATAGTTCAGTTCCTTTGGTCTGGATCAAAGCAAACAGTGATACAGTGCTGCATTTTAATTCTGGTTTGCTTAGAATTCATGCTGACATATTTAATATTGAATCAGAAGGTGTAACCACAGTCATACGCACAGTGACTGTGATAATGCCCACAGAACCTTCTGAGTCATGGTGTTCTGTGTTCTGTCTGGGCTCATTGCTTTTATTTGTCTTGTGATATTGGAGGAATAAGCCCTGAGACTTCCTGCGTTATTGTGGTTTTGCAGGACGCACAGCAGGGGGAGATCTCTGTAGCACAGCCCCGAGTGGCGTACCGCTTTCACTAAACTGAGAAACCTCGGAGCCTAAATATATAACATTATTTATGGACGCAGTCCGATGTGTATATCGAGTATTTTTTTATTTTCTAAAGTGTCTCAGCCTCATTTCATACCTGAAACTAAACAATTACCAAATAAGCCAAAAAAATGACGGTTCGTTCCGTCTTTGGTCCATTTAGATGACTTTGGTTTGTATTGGGTTCCGTACTTAAAACAAACCGCACTAGAGTTTGCCTTGAAGTGAACTGAGAACGACCTGCTCACAGAGTTTCTGTCCATTTATTCGGTGTGTTTGAGAAGGGAAATCACCAAACTGTGCTGGGATTTGACCCTCCAGGGCCTAAATTGGGAACCCCTGCTTTACATGCGTTGCCATTCCTGTCACTGAGACCGCACTTGTAAACAGGTGTGATATGACCTGATCATTTCATCTAAATGAATGACAGAATGTCTTTGTCTGTGCAAGAGATGTTTATTTGCATACTCTCCTCAGTGTGTCTGTGTCGAGTGTACAGCTCAGTGTAGCTGCTGTGTGTGTTGTGTTATAGTCACGTTCTCTCTCTATGTGTTCTACACAGAACCTGTATGTTATCACACACACTGTCTTAACCCCAGGTTTCCCCACTGAACATGCATGTTTACGCCCCTCAGTAGGGGGTCACTCAAGGCACTCTGCATCGTAATGTCTGACCTTTGACCTTTTTTATATTTAACCCTCTGCACTCCTCTCCTCTTGTCTAACTGCGTGTTGTGCTTGCTGTGGTGGACCTCACCTGCAGTTGGTAAATGCTAGGTGCACTTCAGCAGACAAGGAGCAGAAAGATTTAACCAACAGGTTACTGACAGGAGAGAGTGAGACCCAGGTACCGCCCACCTGTCACCTGTCACCGCCCATCTGTCACCTGTCACATGACCGCCGCCCACTGGGCCACTCCAGTACAAGGCCAAAGCCCTTCCTCATCTTTTGAATGCCACAGATAACCAGCCAGGCTCAAAAACAAACTCTGTTTACCTAACCTGGAGCAGAACTCCTCTCACTGCCTTTGACCTGCATGAGAGTCCGTATTAAAGGGACACTTTGGTGGAAAATGAAATTGGCACAGTTTTTCCCTCCGACCTCAAATGACAATCAGCCAAGATGTGTTTGGAGTCTTGCTTCTTTATTTTTGCACAGGATTGCTTACAAACAGTGGAAGCTCCACCTCAATATCATGCGAACCGCATGTTGCCGACGCTGTGGCCTACTGTTATTTATAAAAGTGGACAAAAGTATTTACAGACACTCTGTCCATTTATATCTGTCTTAAAGGGGAATTCCACCTGCTTTATCACTGAGATGTAAACAGTTATTCAGAGATTCTGTGAAATTGCAGAACTGTGATGTCTGTAACACAAACATCGCCATTTTATTTACTATCCAAAATGACCAGTGAACCTACATGTGTCTTCTGAATTTGTATATTCAATGTTGATAATGGTAAAAAAGTGGAAAATCAGAAAAAACAAGTTTAATTTGGGTACTATTTTGCCTTACTATGCCCTGCATGTACCTTTTTGCCATGAACGTATTTTAAAAATGTATATTTTAGACCAGCAGCATATCTTAAAACTGTTGTACAACAGTGTCTCAGGCATCAGGCAGCGTATTTACCATGTCGTGTAAAGCCTTCCAGAGAGGGAGCTTTTAGAAGCTTTACATGGTTTAGACGTCTGGTTCCTGTCGCCACCACTGTGAGCAATTCTGACTCTGTAAAATTCACATCAGACCACTCTGAATGACTGTTTAATCTATATTAATCAATAATTTAACGTAAAATGTATGTGATGTAAAAATCGGTGGAATTCCCCTTTAACATTATGTAATACAGTTTAGGCCAGCAGTCTGCGCGACGCTGACTGGTGGAGTACAGACTTCTGTCACTTGTTCACCACACTGGTCTTGCAGTTTCAGTGCAAAACTCAACTAAAGTGATGTTACCTTTATTGTTAACTGCCATGACAGCTGAAGTCACATGCTAATTTTTGCTAAGCCTGCTTCAGTTATCCCCCCTGACATCAAACATTATGGCATCTGTCACGACAGTTAACGGTAATAGTGACGTCACAGTGAGCAAAATCTGTCATGACAGATCATGAGAGCGTATGACATCTGCCATGACATGTTTATGGCATGGTTATGTCAATGTTATGCAGCAGATTTAAAATATTATCATGCAAACTTCAGACACCACATACATCTTAGCTGTTTGGCTGTTAGCTGGTTAGGAGGAAAAATATGTAAATTAGATTTTCTGCCTCACTCCTCCTTTAAAGGGCCCATATTATTGCTGTCACATAACCCGGTGTATAAGGACTGTTTCAGTCGTGACTATCACAACAGAGATTTTTACTTATATCAGCCTTAAAGGCACAAATACGTAAAAAACAGACTCATTCAAAGATGAAGATGAAAATGATCATGTAATGATAAACTATGACTGTTGTTGCTACACAAAAACACACCAATATTATAAGTGGACCATAAGGGAAGAGTTTAAACGCAAGTAGAGTGTAGGTTATGGGCCCTTTAAAGTGAATTATTCAACGCCTCCTTCTGTTACTTACAAAAACAGGTTCCACCTGTCGCTCTTATCAGAACTTCACATCAGCAAGTAGGAAAATGCAGTCTGTCTCAGAAGTTGCACATCCATGACCTGGCTGGTCTCTGATGGAGTGGCCTGCTGCTCAGTTATTAATACTGTCAATGATTATTTTGGTTCACCCTGCTTGTTCAGCCTTTTTATGTTCTTTTTTCACCTCTTTTTGTTTTGGTCTGGGATAATATGGTTTCCTTGCATCACCCAGAATGGTGCTTGTTGGCTTTGTGTGTATCAGCTTCTGAATTTTTTTTGGAATATATTTATTTTGTGCATCTTTGTTTCAGTCGTTTTCTCTGTTTTGGTGTATTTTTGTTGCCATCTTTTTCCAGCCAGTGCTCCACATACTTATTATGTTCTTTAACAGTCAGCCAGGCCTGCCAGGGGCAAGTCATGTGACCCATGATCTGCCATCTAGGGCTGATGAAGATGTATGAGGCGTGGCTGGACAGAGATGTGTGTGTTGGGGGGTGTGTATGAGTGGCTAGTATGTGTGTGTGTTCACATGGGTGTATGTGCTTCTTACGCCGTTATATGGGAGTAAATCCTTTTCACACCTCTGAATCATCACAGTACGGGAAACGTTACAGCAGTGGCAGCGTTTATGAATCAGAATGTAGACAAACTTCACCTTCATAATGTCTCTGATGTAGAAAACTCACTTGGTTTTACATCCAGGAATTAATCAAATTCTTTCATCAGAGATGTCGTTTGTTTTATAGAGCAGTTTTCATTGTCAGAGAGGAGCTTGATTAGGGCTGCATTCAAAGTAGGCTACTGTCTCTCCAGGCAGCTCTTTACCTTCTTTAAGTCTTATCAGTCCAGTGTGGAAGCAGCATGTGTCAGTAGCCTAATTTGAATGTAGCCCTTATCAAGCTTGCTTCACTTTAAAAATGAAAAGTGCTCAACCCAACGAACGACGTCTTTTATGGGAAAATAAATTGATTAATACCTGAAGAAGAATGTAAAAATAAGCGAGTCTTCTACATCAGACACATTATAAAGGAGACTTGATTGTTGATTGTAAACTGCCACTGCTGTAATGTTTTCCCTGCTGTGACGACTTCCACTGCCTGTAATACGGAAGTGTAAAAAGGGTCTATAAATAATCCTGCACTGCCCAGTCATCACAAATATTCACACACTAAATATAACCTCTAAAGTGACAGTTTGGCAAAAAATCTAATTTACACAGTTTTTTCCTCTTTACTCCAGAAGCCGTCAGTCAGGTCTCTTAAGTTTGCTTTCTTTAGGTTTGGAACTACAAGGCTAATGTAGCTAATAAGTAAAGGAGGCTTATTAGGGGAGAAACGATTCACAGCATTCATTATTCAGTTGGTCGTGATACATTGTGTTCTTCGATACAGCAAAATTAAGAAGTGGCCTTACATTAATATGTTCTGCTATGACTTTATTGGAGCATTCAACATTATAAAAGTCGTGCTTTACAGTGTCCCTATTAAAGCCAGTGTTTACCCCAAGCTGACACACTAGGCACAAGCTAACTTGCTAGTCGTGATGCAGTGGTACATTAAAATATGCTTCGATATAATTAGACAACACTGGCTACTAAAACTAAGCCTTTAATTTGGGCCATAAAGGTCAAAACTTAGAGGAAAAAACCCACCTCAACAAGAACGCCAGCTTCTGCTAGAGTCCCTTTAGGGTTAGTAGTTTATTAGCGCTAAGCAGATCATTTGTTGACCCCGGAGTGTAACTGCAGCACCGGCTGAGGAAAGGCAGACTAATTGTAGACATTTGAAGCTTAACATGTTTTGCTTGAAGCTTCTGACAGACATGTTACATTTACGGCATTTAGCAGATCCTCTTATCCAGAGCGACTTACAACCTGATCAGTTTACACAGGTAGGTGAAGGTGGTGTTAGGAGTCTTGCCCAAGGACTCTTATTGGTATAGTGTAGGGTGTTTAGCCAGGCAGAGGACTGAACCCCAGTCTACAGCGTGGAAGGCAGAGTTGTTACTCACTACACTGTACCAACCACATTTCAGCGTAACGTTTATCTTGTAGTGTCACAGTGACTCTTTCAGTAGTGAGCTCTGGGATAGATCTGCTGCCGCTGTTTTCCATTTCTACCGTGATAGGCTGTCCTGACTGATCAGAGTGTCGCTCGTATTCACTGTGATATCTAGGTCTTCCAGAAGGCTAACTAGAGTGACATCTAGTGGTCTGATCTATTTAAACCCGTTTGTTTCCTCTGTCTCTCAGTGATTATTCTGACGATAATTCTAATGCTTTAGGTTTTCTCTCCAACATTTGAAATCCTGACCAGCAGGAGATCTCAGCTATATTGAACAAGATACCACAAACAAAAACAACTCGACTGCTACTGGTGCTTTGAGCTTTGTTGTGGACTTTATTTGTCCATTTGTATAGATAACCGTCACACAGTGTCAGGAACCACATAAGTCTATTAGAGATGACCTAACCTGGCGTGAGGAAGCCTGTACATTGGCCTCGTAGCTCTAGTCCAAAACTGAAGAAGCAAACTTCAGACGGGAAACACGTCTCGGCTGATGGACTGCCTTCAGTATAAAGAGCTAATTGTGTACATTAGATTTTGTTCTGAACTGTTGCTTCAACACAGTCACTAATAATCAGAAATACATACAGCAGCATATCTACGCCACGTTCTGTTCCTGTCTTACTGAGGATGATCACGGTGCCACAGCATCATTGTTACAAAGATGATGATGATGATGTTCATCCATAATTTGCATGCCAGAAGAAAACATCTACAGAAAGGCAGGAATAGAAGGGCTGGACTGTGAAAGTCTGCAGGCTGCATGTTTGTTGAAGTGCTCGTCCTCTTCTGTTAGGTGTTCCAGGGGAGGCTGGACTCTCTCGCTGTGGCAACAATCAAGGCCCTTACGACAGTGATGCACAAATCACCAGCCGCCAAGGTCAGTCTCTCACACGGACGCGCACTTCACAGACGTTTAACACAGCGCTAACTTCTTATGAACTAAGGAGATTGACTAAATTTCTGCAGCTGGAGGGTCCAGCTGATTCTTAATTAATATAAGGGACATCAGGGTCATAAGATGTGAAGAATGCTACAGTTAGAAAATGTTGCTGCAAAAAAATTAAATATTCTTTTTTATAGCAGATGTCATGAAAGGGCTCATATGGATGACTGAAGTAGTTTGATGTAGTAGTGTGTAAAAACTGTTAAAGGGATAAAGAGAAAATGGAAAATTGTTAAGTGTAATTGAATTAAAAATTTTGGGAATATAAAATCACACAAATGACCTCAGTGGAAAAAACTAAATTCAAGAAAATAATAGACTACAAGCCCTTTTAAATATGTTGTGTTTGTCGTTTGGTAAATTAATCTGAGAGCTCTCAAAATCAGTGTTTGCTTCCACTCTCACCCCTGTAATATACATGTTTACACTCTGTACAAATCCCCCCGCAGGAGGTGTTTAAAGAGAGGATAGGATACACGCACCTGTACGAGGTGCTCGTCTCTCTGGGTCAGCCGTCCAGACACCTTCTGAAGGAGCTCATGAACATGGTGAGAAACTCGCTTCTTTATCTTTCACTCCGGTTGTCCCGAGTAGCTTTACTGGTATGAATGTATTCATTTATTGCAGCGGTTCTTAAGCTCAAACCCTCATATGCTGCAGATTTTAATGTTTTCTAACAACTCATGACTCATTTTTATTTATTTATTTATTTTTAATGTACAATATTGTAGATTGCTGTTAAGTGATGGCCCCGTTATACTGTTTAGAAAGATGAATGCTGTATAATGTTACTCTGCCTGTCTTGCTTATTTGAAATCATAAGGTTTTGTTACAACAAGCAAAACACAAAAACAAGGTTTCTCAAAAAAGTGGATATTTTAGGCCTGAAGTGATGATTGTCCAATAGAAGTGTCCCTCAACTCTCCTTTTATTGGGCAGCTTTGACCAATTCCAGAAGAGTTGGGACAGTAGGTAAAAGGCAAAAGCTGAAAAACAGAAAGCAGTGTTTGGTAACCTTTTACAGGTGTTTAGTTAAAAACAACACAAAGAAGAGAGATTTAATATTTTACCTTTTCAGCTTTATCAGTTTTTGTAAATATATGCTAATTCAACATTTGATGCCTGCAACACTTTCCAAAAAACCAACATGCTTCTGTAATGAATGTAACCAGTTGGGTTCAGGAATACTTCGGAAAACCCTTATCAGAAAACACAGCTCGTCACTGCATTTGCAAATGCGATGTATCAGCAACATACAGAAAGCCCACTGACTTCTCTGGGCTAAAGCTCGTCTGAGATGGACTGACGTAAAGTGGAAGCCTGTGCTGTGCTCTGGTAAGTGCGTCGTGTTCTCGAGAGGAAAATGACCATTCCTAATGTTACCAACACAAAGTTAAAAAGCCTCTGTCATGGTATGGGGTGTGTTGGCGCCAGTGCCGGGGCAACTTGCACATTTGTGAAAGCACCGTTAACACTGAGGGGTCGTACACATTTTGGAGCGATGTATGCTGCCATCTAGACAGCATTCTTTCCAGGGACGTCTCTGCTAGGAAGACAATTCCAGCCACGTTCTGCACGTGTTACAACAGCGTTGTTTGTAGTGAGAGTGCAGGCGCGAGATTGGCCAGGACGCGTAGTGTCTGAGGTTTGCTTCTATAATTTTGTACCAGAGCTATGAGGCTGATGCAGCTAACAAGTAATACATATTCCTAAGTAATAACAATTTTTATACAGTTATCAGTAGCATGAACAAATGTCCTGCTGCCCATAGGTCATTCTGCCTTGATCTGTATTATAGGAACAGTATGCTTTAGCTACAAGGCTAACATATCTAACATTAACCTAGCACTGTTCAAACCACATGCCTAAATAACGCCACATTGGCTTCAAAACATATCAGGTTTATGTAATCTCAAATAGACTTTCTGACACCATATAATATACTGTGATCTGTAAACATGGACACATGCATGTTGCTCACTACTGTAGCTGAAAACAGCAGGACCGGTCATGTTGACTCCTGAATTTTGTCCTGTTGTCCATTCTGCTTTGTGAAATGCCACCCAATATGAACAGTAATGTCAAATGATCCTCTCTGTCTCCCCCTGCAGGCGGTTGAGGGTGAGCACTCCTCCGTGGGTTTGCTGGGCATTAGTAATGTTGACCCTCTCCTGCTGCTGATCCAGTGGCTGCCAGAGCTGGACTCCTCCGAGCTGCAGATATTCACCGCTGATTGGCTGCGGCGGATCTGCGGCCTGAACCGGCGCACGCGGGCCACCTGCGTAAACGCCCGCATGTCCATGCGTCTGCTGTCCACGCTGGAAAAGCACACGCGGCTCCACCGGGCCTGTGGGGAGAGCCTGGTGGCCCTGCTGGGGTCACTCGGGGGTCAGTCTCTGAGCGGCTCTGAACTTCACCAGCTGCTCAGTTTCCTCCGGCAGGATGACCCCAGCAGGCCACATCCGTACGTAGGCCCTGTGCTGCGCTCCCTGCTGGCCATGCTGAGGAAGCACGGCCTGGACAGCGCCATGCAGTACTTCGACATGACTCCACCCATGGCTGGCATCGCTGTGCCGACGGTCAGCCGCTGGCCAGGCTTTGCATTCAGCTTCCTCGCGTGGCTGTCATTGGATCAGGATCAGCTGGGACCACCCAGTAAAGGAGAGAAGAGGAAGCAGTTGTACAGGTAGGAGGGATTAAGCGATGAGGCGAGAGCTGGCAGATGTTCACCTTCTGCACACGGCAGCCATTTTGACAGGAGCAGTTTATGCACTAGGCAAAGGTAGGCAGCCATCTAGGGCCCCCATCAGCCAAGGGCCCCCATCAGCCAAGGGCCCCCATCAGCCTAGAGCCCAATGAAAATATTGTACTGTATGTGTTGTAACCTATTAACCTATAACTTATTCTGGAATAAACATATATATATATAGCTGTTATTTCAGTGTAGCCTCAAACCTGCGGTCATGGTTATAATGACTGCTTCTGAACAACATCATTAAGAGATAATCTGCGTAATAAAGAGCAGGTTCTTTGGTGTGATTTATTTTGTGTGGAAAATCAAATAAACGTCATCAAAGTGCAGCAGTGAAATACAAAACATGTGTTACTTTACTACAAAAGCAGCCTTTGTTTTTTCAATCAGAGTAAAGCGCTACACAAGCTCAGCAGGCCGTACATAATGCCACTGATGTCAGTGATAATGTAAGTATAGGTAGCCCCAGTGTTGAGATCATTATTATTAAAGTAATCTATTGCAATTTACTGAATACTGTAATGGGATTACATTTCTCATTCCTTCCTGGAAAAAGGAATCTCACTGCTCATTACTGTTTGTTTCAGGCATCATTTCTTAAAATTTTTTGCCAAAAAAACCTAATCAGGTTTCCCTGGAGCTCATAATTGGCCTTGCTCTCACGTGTTCCTTTGAGCGTGTTGAGCTGTCCAGTGATGTTGTGTGGCATTGGTTTAAAGAGACGGCGCTTCATGTGTCCAGAGAGCATTTGCTAGCCTTCACATGCTTCAGCTTGGTAGCAGCTGGTGGGAGACCAGGCCAGTGGGTGGAAATGATGATTTGACTATAAATTGAGAAGAAAGCTGGGTTGGAATCCAAAAAGAAAATCAAACCAGAGTGTGTGTGGCCTTTTTTTCTGCTCTGAGACATCTGCCATGAATTGAAAGTTTAGAATATGCACTTTTGAGCTTGTTTCTTCACCAGGTTTGAGTAAGAAATAATGAATATAAAACATGCTTTTGTCACTGTTGATTACTGGGACTTTTATATAAGTGTATGTCTTTCTGTGTGTGTGTGTGTGTGTGTGTGTGTGTGTGTGTGTGTGTGTGTGTGTGTGTAGTTTTTTCACCCCAGGAGGAACAGGCTTTGAGGCCTTCATCAGTTCTGCCGGAGCGCTGGTTGTGGCTGTGTGCAGTAAGAAGGAATACGTCACCGTCATGCTGCCCGACTACTGCTTCTGTGACTCACTGTGGGTGAGTGACCCCACCAACACCAAACAGTGCTCACTCCCAGCATTCCTGTCAGTGTTCCAAATGACAGAGAGGATTATGGAGGATTGAGTCTGTTTGTGATCTCAGCAGGATCCTTTAGATCTTGTTTTGGAGTCTGTGTATCAGAATGTTTACAGATGTGTACATATATTAAAGTCATATTCAAGTTCTGCATAATCATTCAGAGCTTTGAAAGAGGCTGACTCTTAGTTTTCTTCTTACAGCACTTTATTGGTGTTGTCCATGTTCCTGGGAAAAGACCATTTGGGCAGAGTCTGGTCTACATCTATGTTGATGGCCAGCAGAAGCTTTCAGCACCTCTGAAATACCCAACCATGACTGAGGTAAGAGTGAGAGAGGTGTCATTTTACACCTGGTTGTGGACGATCCGTGATGCACAGTTCTGGTTAGTCATGCATTTCCTGGATATTTTTGAGCAGCGGACGACTCTAAACCTCACAGTGACACTGTAAAACCCCCACCAAGCCTGGTGTTTCTGATACACTTGTACCACAACTTGGGTTATTCGAAAGTGTTATGGTTACAGTATCAGCAGTTTAACCATCAGCTTTCTTCAGCAACACATTGTGACTTCATATGTCGAATTTTAGGGCTTTTTAATGAGCACCTTTTTAAATACAAACTTTTTCAGACCTTATCAGATGTTTTGAAAAATGAATCATGACCACTGGCACCCACAATGCCATGCAACGTGTCATTTTCACTGCTGTGCTGAGATAATGTCATGTCATATCATGCCAAATGATACCATAATAATATCAACAGTGGTCAGAAACTAACCAGTGATAACCAGGCCTGTTATGCCACATGTTGAGTTGTTCTGTGGGCAGAAACTAAAATTCCTGCTGTGTGTTGTGTGGAACTCTAATAAAGTGAGAGAGGAGTGTATATTGATTTGATGTGCTGTATCATTACGTCTCTCTCTCTCTCTCTCTCTCTCTCTCTCTCTCTCTCTCTCTCTCTCTCTCTCTCTCTGCAGCCCTTCACCTCCTGTTGTATCGGCTCTGCTGGTCATCGCACCACCACTCCCCCTCCTTCTCAAATTCCTGACCCCCCACTCTCTGACGCCCCCTCTGGCCGCTCCTCTCTGGGCAGTATCCTGTCCCCACAGACGTGGGGAGGGCTTTTGGGGGGGAAGCCTGAGTCCCTCACTAAGCTGATCTCCGCAGGGACGCAGGACAGCGAGTGGGGCAGCCCGACTTCACTTCAGGGCCAACTGGGCAGCGTGATGGTGTTCCACGACGCACTGCAGACCAATCACGTCAAAGCCCTGTTCAGCGCAGGTATGGAGGGAGGGTGAGGGGGGAGAAAATGAGAGGGAAAGGGGAGGGAGAGAAGAGAAAGAGCAGTGGCAAGTAAAGAAGGATGGACTGGGTGGAAGTAAAGGAGGGAGAGAGAGAAAGAGTTAGTGTGAAAAGGAGGGGAAAAAGAAGAGAAAGGGAAGGAAACAAGAAGAGATGCAGGAACAGAGAAAAGAAGAGATGAGAACAGAGGGAAGAAGGGAGTGAAAGGAGGAGGAGGAGGGAGAATGGGAGAGTATGAAGCGAATTTTTGGAAAGAAAATGAAAAGATGAAATGATATTCCTGTGTTTCAGGGCCGAATTGTATTTCCCCATTTAAAAGCCAGGAGGCGGAGCTGGGAGAGCTTTCCTCTAAACTCCTCCTGCACTACTCTCCTAAGGTCAGTGACACGTACTGTGGTCAGTCAAGCTTTAAGAATACTTTTCATGATACCCGATGTGTCACAATGTTTATTGTTTCTGATGTCTGATTAGTTGGAACAGACAAAGTAGGGCCACATCAAAAAACAGTATCAAAAGCTGTGAATACAATTCTTTATGTCAACATTTTACATGCTGCACTCCACTAAATCCATTTAATCAGGACTAATTATGCTTTCTTTCAATCAGGTTTGATTAAAAGTGTTATTTTTAACTGTTGACGAGTGACACACTGCTCAGAAAAGCTAACTGTCACAAATTATGACAGAATTCACGATAACTATAAATACAGTCATATCGCTCCTCCCCAAATCAAACGCGCTCAGATGGGTTTGCTGTACAGTGAGGGTGTAAATGTGCAGTGTGATACACTGATGCGTTTACCAATTCAAATGATTAGATACTGGCATATTATGATGTATTATAATTGAATATAAAAATATTATATAATATATTGCTGCTGTCAGACCAAAACCTTTTTCTCTCCAAAATAGTAAATATAATAGTAACTAAATAATTAATTTGTATACATACATATGCACTCGTCACTTTTTTGCATTCAATGTACAGATTATTTGGAAATTTAGAATTAAATATTAAATCTGAATACCAAAATAATCTTTTTCAGTTCCATCTAGCTGAAATTTTAAAGTTTATTGAGTTGAATCATGTCCTAAAGTACTGTAGTTAGAGCTGGGCGATATGGCCAGAGTGTATTATCATGATACTTCAAGAAGTTTGCACGATTCTCGATACGTCAAAAAAGACAAAATGGTGTTAGTGTAGCAGTGATTTACGTTCAACATTTTACGTACTGATCTGCACTAAGTCCAATACAACAGGACTAATTATGATCTCTTTTAATCATCCATGCGGTTTCTAAGTGTTTTTAAGTGCTGCCGATATCCACAAGATGCCCAGAGCCATAGAGTAAATTATATAAATGATCACAATAGTGATAAATGTTGTCTTATTGTCCAGCCCCAACTGTAATTGAATAAAATCATTTTGATGTCAGACCCCAGGCTTTAAAGTGTGTCCCCTCCCACTACAGGCCTGCCGGAACCCCATCTGTTTGGACCTGTCGCCCAACCTGCTGCATGGCCGCCTAACAGGGAACAAAGTGGTCAACTGGGACATTAAGGTAGAGTTTGGAAGAGATTGTTCTGGGATCTAGAGCTAAACCATTTGAGGAGAATGTCTATTTTTTCTGACCAGTATAGCAGTTTAAATGCAATAAAATGCGCTGAGAAGACCTTCATGTCCGTGTTTTGGACCTGTGGCCAGACTTTACAAGCTCTGTCTTATTATGTTAAATTTCCCCACTTAAACTTGTTAAGACAAAATTAATTAGTGTGAGATATAATAAAAATTGCACTTTTTCAAATTCTGATTTTGATAAAAGAAAATTTGATTTAATAAAAACAATTAATTGTAGAGCCTGACTAGAATCGCTTCATAAACTGACCTAAGGGCTTTACTTTGTAATTGATTATCTATTGATTATCTATTCTCTCTCTCTCTCGCTCTCTCTCACTCTGTAGGATATGATCAACTGTGTCGGAGGGCTTCCTGTGCTTTTCCCCATCTTGGAGCAGTTGACCCTGCTGACCCCCGACCCTGCTGACACCTCAGGGTCGGAGTTCATCACCCCGGAGACTGCCACACCTGCTGATGGAGACTGGGTCATACTGCCTTCCAACAGAGCCTCAGGTAACAGCAGCCGGCTGTATTTACATGCTCTGTGTTTGTGTTCTTCTGTTGGAGATGATAGAACGTTACCACTAACACTGCATACTCAGATGCCTGTCCGATACG